GTCAAGTGGCACAGTGCAAAACTAAAGTGGCGCAGTGCAAAACTAAAGTGGCGCAGTGCAAAATTCAAGTAGCAGCACACGCATTTTGTTTTGCACTGCGCCACTTTCGTTTTGCACTGCGCCACTTTAGTTTTGCACTGTGCCACTTGACTTTTGCACTGCGCCACTTGTAATTTGTCCTTTTGGCGTTCCATAATTTCCTGCTAGCCATCTAGAGGTGCCATAATAATTAATGTTCTTGCCTTGGTGGGGCTGAGGTGGCATAGACCACCGTTCCGCAACCTATGGGTCGCGACCCAATGTTTGGGTCGCGAACAAAAAATTATCGGTCGCTTAATCTCTTCAGAGCGTTAAAACTTTACTTAACACAAACGAAGCAAACATCATAGTAAACGAAAGTGCAATTTCAAGTGTGACAAGTGCATCAGTTTACTTTTGTTATGCGTGCGTTACTATCACAGTTTCATGTTAACAATATCAAAACATTTGTACTTCCGGTATGACAACTTTAAAGTATTAGTTTTGTTTATTTTGTGTCTGAACATAATTATTTTGTGTCTGAACGTTGTTCAGACACAACGACTTACGCTAGCGTAACGTTAATCGAGTGGTGTGAACTTGTGCGCGGCGTAGCGAACGCCAGTATTATCGCGCAATCACTGGCGTACGGTAATCCAGCAGACCCCAGATTAGCGTACGGCACTGGTTTACGACAGTCACGCATCGGTGATTTTGAACTCAGCCAAGATTTGACCAATCAAAATAAACCTAGATGTAAACAGAAAATAAAATGAGCGAACTACGAATACGAATATTTCGCGCGAATACTTACGCTAGCGTTCATCAATCGCCCAGTCTGGACATCTCGCTAGTTACGCCATGGATTAACCTACGCCTTGCGTTAGATACGCCTGGCGTATCTCACAGGTCTGAACGTAGCCTATGGGTACAGCTAGTTTGAAACTCGAGCGTTGCGGTGTTTGGGTGTAATGTACACGATTTTAATTTTCATCCCTTGGTACTTTATTTTTGAATAAGATGCTCCACTTGGCCTCGTTTTGGCTAAAATAGTTTAATAATTTGTTATTACCATTACTCATTATCATTAATGAAATAATAGTCAGTCAGAGGGGCTTATTAATATGTAATAATATGTATACTAAGCCTGAAGGTGGCGCTTTACTACGACGGCCATCTTGGATGGTACACATACATAACTCTGCATTGCTGCGCCATCTTGTCAGCACTCTAGTTGTTTAATAGCTCTATGTTTATTACCCAGTACTCCACCGCGCACGGTCGGTTTGTCTGTTTATCTGTTCTCCACAAGATACCGGTACTGTACTTTTGTTTTCTGCCAAAGATCTTATAAACACAAGATAGCGTTCTCCGCGATTTACGCGTAACAAATAGAAGCGTCGGTCAAGGTTCAAAAGTTTCCAATTTAGCAAGAGGGCGCCATTCATGCGCTATTATACCAAAGATAAAAAGTAATCAGTTTTGGAAGAGGGCGTCCTATCTGTTGCCATGGATCTGAGATGGTTCCTGTTCTGCTGTTCACAAGATTGATACCCAAGGTAAAAAGTCGCGCGGTGACGGTCAGAGCGGTCGAGGGTCAAAAGTTTCCAATTTAGCAAGAGGGCGCCATTCATGCCTTATTACAGAATTTTCACGCGTAAATCGCGGAGAACGCTATCTTGTGTTTATGAGATCTTTGTTTTCTGCTTACTGAGTTCATAGCGGGCGTGCTTCTACCGCGCTGCGCAGCGCTGCACTGGGTAATAAAAAGAATATACAACCGTTAGTGGGCGTCCTACACAGGCGTGACGTTTTAACGAACGGGACTTTGCTCTCTTGTTCTATTTATACTCTTTGCTAACGGTCGGATAGCAGGATCCGGATCCTGCTAACCGTTAGCTGCCGTGCGTCCATGCGAGAAAATCCCGATCCGGATACCAACAATATGATGATAGAATCACTGGCCAATAAGAAACTGAAAATTGTAAACGCGTATGTGTGATTGGTTGATGATAGAAACGCCCTCAACTTGCTAACCGATAGCGCTTGCTAACCGTTAGCGTATCCGGATACCGCTAACGGTTAACGCTAACCGATCGGGCGTTCTCACGCAGGTGCTAACAGTTAGCGCTAACGGTTATCTCCCGATCCGGATACTAGGGCTCGTGAACCAGGCTTAGAGCAAAGAGTATAATATACTTACTCTGTAATATACTCTTTGATTAGAGGCCTAGTTCAGACTAGGTGGCGGGTAAACCCGGCTCAACTCACCGGGTTTATCCACCTTCCAGTCTGAACTAGGTGGCTTATCTCAAGCCGGGCCGTGTTCCTAATAGTAACTAGGCCTGGCGTGCCACCGTGCTTTTCTAAGCCGGGCTTTAATCGTTGCGGGGACGCATCCGCTGGAATACTTTATGTATACTTTATACAGTCAATAAAGTGCGCCCTCTCTAATGGGAATAGTTTTTGTACTTCGCATCTCGCACAATGCGGTCGTTCGAGTAGGCCTGAGATATGTTTGTTTAAGTGTCAAAATCTCGGTCAGAATCAGTTTTTTAACAAATTTGAAATAATTCCTATGAAATATTATATTTCACAAGTGTCAATACTAGCAACAGAAAATATCATATCGGCCGTTTTTATGTGTGATAACAGAACCTAAATCGAGTAAGGCTAGTCTAGCAGTGTTGGATAGGCTAATGTTTTCGGCGCCTACTATATTTCTTCGCAGGACCTATCGCAAAATCAAACATGAAAAATTCATCCGCATTTATTTTTTGTATGGAACAAAAAATAAATAAAATTTCAGTCTTATTTTACATTTCTTTCATGCTTAGGAATGTCAAAATTTAGTTAAACTAGCAATTCCGTATTATATTTATAAATCTTTTATAACATACAAAAATTAGATTTTCTTAACAACCGAAATTTTGCCGGGAATGGGGCTTTAAGCCGGGCTTAACGTTGAGCCGGGTTTAACTCAAGCCTGACTTATCTCCAAGTCTGAACGTAGCCAGAATTTCTTTCAATTATCGTTAATTCGTCACATTCTAATTAACGAAAACTGAAGACCCGATGTATTTTAATTAAATGACAAATAAAAATGATTTGCTGTTTCTATTGCATACTATTAATTATATAATTACTAAAACAGACGATACTTTTAATACGATAAAATGTACGTTACACAATTACACAAGTTGAATATATCACAGATCCTGTATATCACTTAACACTTACAATTTACATTTACAGCAAAGCACAGTTTATTTATTGCGACCAACTGACCTATACTATTTTAATATTTATAAATAATAATAATCAAATTAATAACATAAGATTTGTATAGGGCTCGCTCATATTCAAATTTACTAAAAGAGCAACAATCTTTTAGTCTGAGAGTGATTTCCAGCCATCTAGGGGGAAAAGAGACAAGGTAAAATTGTAGAGGGGAAGTCTACTGAGGTGGTCGGGCGTCGTTCAAAATGCCTCTGAAGCGGTCCAGAGGGGCGGGGGGGGGGGGGCGAGGCCCCCGAAAAATATGACAATTTAGGAGTTTCAGGGGGTTATTCAATCGATTCTAAATAGATAGGTTATTAAATCGATTTTCTACTAATGTGGAGTATATACATATCATTTTTTTTCTCCCCGATGGTTTATTTTCTTTTTTGGGTGGGGGAAGACAATTTTCTGGGAAATTATCCCCCTGCCTCACGTAGCGACGCCACTGTCTATGGGTACCACAATGATCTCTGGTGTGGTACATTAACTTAACGGCAAGCTGTATAAAAACTTCACTGATACCATTGACAGGTGTATAAACGCCCTCATCGTTACAAAACTTTTGGTTGTTGATTGATTCTACCGCATAGAATTTAGAACCATAATGGCAACGTCATAAACATCCTTAAAAAAATTAACAGATACCATTATGGTAAAAAGAATGGATGCATACTACCAATACTGATATTTAACTTCCTCACTCCTTGATGAATAATTAAACATAGTCTAGTTCTAGAATTTAAGAAACTCCTATACATTATTCTCGGTTACACTTTTACACTTTCTTGTATTATGCCCTCTGCATGTTTATTTCCGCTACATTAACGTTGTATTGAATATGATTTCCAACCTTATTCAATTATAATAATAGTTCGTTGTCTAGTGGTTATTTGTTCAAATATAAAGAGCAATATTGACCAGTATCTGACCGGTCAGAAATATCTGAATTATTCAAGTGTTTATAACGTCATCAATCTGACCTCGTTTAGTCTAATAGTATAGATATGCGGATTCAGCATATCCAATATTGGGGAATGCATGCGGGCTGCATGTTTTGTAATTTGTAGGGAAAATGGGCTGGTAAAAATTTGGACCGTCTTAATAAAGACATTCCAATTAACCATTCCCTCTCAGTCCATAGGTATTTTATAATGTTTGTTGTTATACTCCTCTAAATTACTCCTCTAAATTGTAACCATGGTAACAAGATATATTAGCTTCACGTTGAGTCATATTCCATAAAACAAGCAATGGAATAAGAATACGGCATTAATAATAATTTTTTTTTAAAAAGTACGGTATATATCCGCATTATCCAGGGCTCCAGGGCCTCATAATGATCCATTCACGCCAAAGACCGCAAATGGCAATACAAATGTTTGTACTTGATTCTCGTAAGATGTTGACCGACACACCACGCGCAGGATGAATGAGATATGGTCGACCCTATAATCTCACACTATTAGGCTTCTAGAAAGAGGACAGGGTGAGTGAGGCTAGCATCGAAAAAACATTCTATAATCGCCTAGATTTGAACCCAGACCATGTATTTATAAGAAACACACCTTAACTACTGTACCAATATATAACCTGTTAACAGGGTGCTATGCCTCGTAGATTTCTTCCCCATATCTATAAATGCTGCAGTGTATCCGCAATCAATTGACATCCCTTTTAATCTTTTCAATCAATAAAAACAAAAGAACAATAGAACGAACGGCGCTTAACTGTCGATTCAGTCAATTAGAGAGCAGGATCCTGACACATATGTGCATGTTCACACGACAGAGCTCAGTCGCTGATGAAAACGAATCTATTTTTATATATTATGTTAGTCTGGGTCTAACTGTTCAAAGGTGCACGAGCTAGTGATGCCATCGAACAAATGAATGATATATGCCTTGAATATTGACCAGGTTTTAGAAAAAAAAAATACTGCAAAAATTTAGTAATCTCGAGCTGCCATACTCATTGAAAATGGAGGAGCCCGTTGGTAAGTGATTACACATTATAAATATGTTTTATAAAAAAATAACATATGAGCTATGAATTGATTTAAACTTAGTCTTAATGTCTAATTTTGTCATATAATGATTTACCTTTTTGTTTTTATATTCACTAATTATAATTTGCATAAACAATTTACGTTGAGTAGAATGGAATTCAATAGGCCTATGAGATAATTCGATCAAAGCTTAAAGGTGAAATGATTTTGCAGTAAAAGTAATAAACTTGTCGCTTTCAGCTGTTATGAATACATATTTTTAAATCAATTTGTTTAATAGCCAGTTGACGAATATTTTGATTTTAAATGGAATAAGATGATTTTTTGCATATTGGTAGCAGACACAAGATAGACCAATCCCTAGTGCACGACTTGTCGTGCAAAAACACGTTATGTAACAATTCTTAATTTTTTAATGATATCTTTTTTCATTTTAAACGCATCAGAACGGACATTTTCATGCCCTTGTTCGACAGCTTAGTTCCTAATTAATACACTACATGTAAATTACACATTTTTGAAAATAATCATGAGAAGAATTTTTTTTGTCAATGCACAAATTCGACAAACTGAGCGTAACAGGTGGTATTATGCTATAACTGTAGGCCCAGTGGCGTAACGCCTTTACGCTCTCATGCGGCGGTCCGCAGGGCCCCCCGAATTCTAGGGGCCTCGGAGGGGCCCTACTCATAGGTTCCTCGATCTAGCACTCTGTCCAAAAAGGACTTTGTTGATAAATAACACCATAATGTGTCTCTGAAATCGACTGTAGGGCATATATCATATTATAATGATTAAAGAGAAATGGTCCGTCGGCCCGACGAGTCCCCCCCCCCCCTCGGCCCGGGACCCCATCAACTTTGTCGAAAAAAGATATATAAAAATGGAGATAAAAAGAAAATTATATTCACAATTTGAAGTCTATGAGTGCCATTTCCGGCCATCTAGACGTGATCTCAGTCCCACAGGAGCAACGGCATAATGTGTGCCTGAAATCGACTGTAGGACATATCATATTATATCCAGTGGCGGAATAAAGAGTGTGTGGGGGAGGGGGAGAGCTGCCGGGCCGAGGCCCCACTAAATTTGTCAAAATATTTTTTAACTGGAGATAAAAAAAAAATTCTATTCACAATTTTTTCAGTGAAGTGCCATTTCCGGCCATCTAAAGGTGCCATATTCATAAAATTTCTTACCTCAGTCCCAACCATGGTGGGTCTGAGGTGGTATAGACTCTCTAACTGTGAAAGTCCCTCCCTGGCATCAATTTTCTAGATCCATATTTATTATTAGATATATATTCATCTATTCGTCGTTAAAAAAAATTTAGAATAACAATGCACATCTAAAATCCCACAATGGAATTGGTGATCGGGACCCAAAAAGGGCCCCCAGTTTCAGAAATACACAGGGCCCCCGGCCCCATCTTTACGCCACTGCCTGCATTTCTTTAGGCCTACATATTAAACATGAATATTTCGACCTGACCTCAAGTCCTGCTGAGGAGGACCTGAAGTCAGGTCGAAATATTCATGTTTAAATAACATAGTGTTCTTAAAGTCTACTCCGTTTCCTGTTTCCTTTCTATATATTTTTTATTTTTATTTAATAACAATCGTCCAACAGGAACTCTTCGTTTCCACTTACAGGCGAAAATTGTAATAAACATCAAAAATATAATCAATACAATAAAATCACAAGATATAAAAAGATAATTATAATTATAATAATAATAATAATTATTATTATTTATATAATTATAATTAATATTGTTATATTTACAACAAATATGTAAATTACTAAAAGTATTTATAATTACAATTAAAATAACGATAAAAAAAATTACAAATTACACTTAAAACACACACCACTAATGAGAAATATAATTATTAAGGTGACATTTAAACATATTTAAAGAATTATAAAAGATATCAACTTCAGGACATTTGGTAACAAAATCATTATACAAACTAGATAATCGTGAAATAAAACCATTTTTACAGACATTAACACGACAAAACTGAACAGAAAATAAATCACGTTGACGTAGACGACGACCAGGAACTTTAAGTAAGAAATAGGAGATAAGGTTACAATCAAACGAATTCACAAATTTAAACAGGAACAAAAGATCAAGGTACATACGTTTAGAAGACGGACAAGTAACATTTAACTTTTTATTGACCGAGTCAATGATGGCATCGTCGAAATTAATTATATTATTGTTAATACGACGAAGGCCAAATGTTTCAGGACTGATGAAGCGCAAGAACATATAATAGAGTGTATCCTGTCGATTCGTTTAGAGTTACTTTTAGATATTGAATTAAAATGACAGAACAGAATTCTAAAGATGGTCTAACCAGTGTGAGATAAAGAAAGCGTTTAGTAGGAATATCAAAATATCTGCAATTGCGCCACATCATTTCCAAGATTCTGTTGGCCCTCGCCGTAATAAAATTAATATGATATGTGAACGTTAACCTTGAATCAAAAAATATACCAATATCTTTATGATAATCTACCTTTTCGAGTGCATTGCAATTGATTTTATAGTCAAATTCCAAAGGATGCTTTTTCAATGTAATTGATAAAACCTTACACTTGTCGGGATGTAGTATCACACAAGACGCTGACACCCAACGATACAACGTGTCCAGATCCTCCTGGAGCCCGCGAGCATCCTCGAGAGAAGAAATAGTTCTATAGGGTTTAAGATCGTCAGCATAGAGGAGGCTCTTAGAGCTATATAGCTATATAATAACTAAACTTGCAAATGAGGGCTTCAAAGTATCTTCCCCACAAACGTTTCTTAACCCGAAATTGTTTAATTGTGGCATGGGTTGCAAAATGTCCACGTCTGAATTATGAGAGGTCGGGACTAAAAAAAAGTCCATTTTACGAAATTCCAACACCCCATTCTGGACAGATAATCCTTCGAACTAACTGCATCATTTAAAATAGGCGTCAAATACCCACAAACATAGAGGCAATAGGCCTACGTCGCCCCTCTGGGTTCCTTCGAAGTTTTGATACGAAGTTCTTTTTATTGTTTTGAGAATTGGTTAACGTGGGTTCACCTCTGACGAAAATATACCATTTTAATCGTCTTAAATATTGTGACAAACCAGTCTCATTATAAATCCACCCCAATTTATCTAAATTCTCCCTAAATATGATTGTTTTCTGCAGATAATATGCGAGTTGTGAGACATTGAATTTAAAGCAAACTCGTAAAAAAACCTTTAGGCCTATACACAAAAATAATCTCTGGTAGGACTAAGTGTGACAAAGTTTCGGAAAATAAACAATGATTTGCCAAAGTGAGAACAACAATTTCATACCATTGTGAAGTAAGCCTTGTGCAAATTTATACCAAAAACATACCAGATACATTTACCAATACGTCAATTCGTATTTCTTATTTTTCTAATCGAGTCTCTATTTACATAAAAAGCTTAAATCATCGTAGTTGGAATTCGGCATCAGAAACATAGCTAGTATTTTGTATAAACAAGTAGAATTGTATTGTTAGGAATTGATCGCAGGCGTGAAGTAGAGCGGAGATGGTGTATTGTTTGAAAAGCGTGTCTGCCGAAATATGCGTGGGAACTAACGTTTCACGCGACATGCGTACATCCACGGTAACGGTTAAATAGCAATCGATACTTATGATCTGATTAACTCAGATTTAGAATTGTTTGTACGGAAACAGCAGTAACTTGACTTCGTGACTGTGATTTCCTAATTGTGTGTTTTGTTCAACTTTTTGTTGTCGAGCACTGTTGACAAGTTTGGATTGAATACCAATCGATTCTAACACAACTTACCTAAAAACATCTATTTAAAACCAAAATTGTTATTTCGATTCTTTACTGATCCTGTTAAAGGGTGTCTTTCACGAAAGTCTGTTATACAGAAATGGTGTAATGATCAATACATTGGCAATGTTCATAATTGAGATTAATGATGAATTATTACCCATCAACCTTGTAAACGTATGCTAAAAAAAGTATGATCAAAAGTAATATTTACGCATGCTCAAATTTACTTCCCCATTATTTGGCTTCTGGTCTTTTTGTTTGTAGCACAACATGCATAGGCCTATAGGTAGGCCTGATGCTGTTGTCATGGCCTGAGCGGGGTTTAAAAGAAACAAGAGGCACATAGTTCTTTTCGTTACCGCATAATTAACTAAAATAAAGGTTTCACATTTCACACTAACAAACATTTACAAGCCAATTTTACAAGCTTTTTAATTCACACACCGCAGGATGATGTGCATATTTACATAGGCCTACTAGACCCTATTTCGACTCATTACACTAAACTACATCTGCCGATTTTCTCGTACGAACCGGTAATAATAGACGGTCACAGAATTTACAGCGTCTGCCTATGGAATGATGGTGGTCCAAAACCTTCAATTCTTGCCCATGTTTTCAGAGACCTTTTAGGCATGTAACTGATGTTCACACGAATAACTATTCATAACAATATCCAAGTAATGAAGTAATTAAATATCAAACAGTTTTCTAAGCTATATCCACACTATCAAAGTTTATGGGACAAATAAGTGTCCCATATTTAAGTGAAATTTGACACCATCATGGCCATATACACACACATTCAGGGGTGGCGCCAGCAAGGAGGAAGGGCGGGGCCCCCATCGGGGAGAAAAAAACCACAATTCGTCAAGGAGAAAAAATATATGTATTTTCTACATATTAGACTCTAAAATCGATTAAATAAGCCTTTGAAACCCCCGAATTTTCATATTTTTCAAGGGCTTCCCCCCTAGAACACTTTCGAGAGATTCGCCAACTGTTTTTTTCGTTGGGGACATTTCCCCCTCCCTCCCGGTCGGGGACGTCGGATTCCCCGTTGGGCAATTCCAGGCACCACCCCTGCACATATTTTGTCACAAAATAGTGTAGCCAGAGCTTAATAATTCATAAGTACGGTACACATTTTATCAATATTGGCCTACGGACCCGGCTGGCCAGAATGATGGTTGATGTTTACTTTGATGAACAATAGGCCTAGAATTTGTCATGGATATCATATATCATTATCTAAAATAATATATTTTTTTTAGGTCTTAATATGCTACAATATGGTACATTTAGGTATGCCCATTAACAAAATAAAGATAACTGAATGTAAAATAACCAGGTCTATTGTAAAGTCTGAAGCATGAGATTGCGATTATAATTTGCATAATATTAAATAACGCTGTTTTAAATTTTTTGAAGGCTTGAATCTAACTCACTGTGCTTCGGATCCAAATGAACGAAATTTAAGCCCCAGCCAGAAACCCGAGATATTATGCCAAGTCTGTGGCGACAGGAGCTCGGGCCGTCACTACGGGGTATACAGTTGCGACGGATGTCGAGGTTTTTTTAAAAGAAGTGTTCGGCGAAACTTAGGGTATGTGTGTAAAGAGTCAGGCAACTGTGTAGTCGACGTCGCCAGAAGGAACCAGTGCCAAGCATGTAGATTCAAAAAGTGCTTGGATGTGAGCATGAATCGAGATGGTAAGATATATTTTAAATTTTCTACTATATATATACTGTCTCTTATACACATCTAGATGTGTATAAGAGACAGCCACTACTTGGGCTCGAATTCAGCCCTGGCCATCAGGTGCAAACTCGGTGGTCTAGAGGTATGATGCCAGACTAGTGATCTGGAACTGGAGAACTGTGTTCGAGTCCCACTGGAGAACAACTTTCACACGCACTGATTATTCAATACATTTTCACGACAAGTTGGGCAAAATTACACATATAGTCCCCCCTAATTGATTCTCCTGACGCAAATCGAGGTATTGTCTATTCCATCACGATAATAACAATTACCATTCAATAATAGTCATCGACTACTTGCACTGAAGTGAATCTAAAATGTATTTATGAAGTTATGATGATCTGAAGTGTTTAAAATCGTACACAATAATAGTTGAACCAACTTTAAAATACCACAAATACAAATGTGACAATTATCAACAACTTAAATGTAATTTATCGATTTATTAGAATTGACACATTATTAATATCAAGTAGCCTAATAATCAAGTAACATTTATTTATACAGCTGTACAGCATGAGAGGGCACCACGATGTTATCAGTCTGTCTCTTATACACATCTAGATGTGTATAAGAGACAGGTACTATACAGTCGATTTAAATTCAGCCAAGTATGGAAAATCTTTTCCATTCAAACAACTTCTAAATATCGATGTAAAGGCATTCGTTACGTAGGTTGCAATGAATCGAATATACTATTATTATTCTTATTCATTAAGACATTTTGCGGTTCACTATGGAGTCAAATTTAGCTCTGACATTTCATATTATTTATATTATTATTAGACCACATGTTAGTTAGTTAAGCCTATCAATGGAATGATTATTACGGTAGCCTATTTATCTTATAAGATGCATAATTTGAGGATTATTATTGTAGTATCTGTGCTTAATTTGTGCTTTAAAAGTGAATTTGCAGATCTCATTGGCTAACGATGTATCGGATCTTCTGCCACTGGTATTTTGCAAGGTCTAATACCACTAGACTGCTAAATAAAACCCCATCTCGATTCCGCATGAGAATACTCTACTCTAATTCCTTATTATACACCGTACGAGCAATCTCACCGCATGCTGCATTAGTATTTATTTCATTGATAACATTATTCAATATGATAGTTTTAATTCTGCATTCTGCACCGGTATCTTTCATAGCCATAACTAGCTGTGGTTTTTCCTTAGCGCATTTCTGTCCTTCCATTCCGTAACGGAACGATGTGTAATGAAATTTAAAATACTTTTTTTAACCACTGAATGTTGACGATTTTAATGCCAAAATATTTTATTTAAAACATGGAATAGACCTACAATAAGCATTAATTAATTATACCGTACAATTCTGCTGGAGGAAGTCGACTATTGAATTTATAGAATAATCTATATAGATTTATTCAATTATAAATAGAGCATTTACCTATAAATAGTATTAATAATCTATTTATAGACGACTTAGTTTTCTTCAATAGATACGCGATTAAAAGCAAAAAAAAATGTAAATTGATTGATTGAGATCGGCATTTATAGGGTCAAGATGAGTTCTTCTGTTCAACTATGGTACTCATCATACACTTCAATTAACAAGGAAATCAGGTAGAAACACTGACGTGAACTATTTTAACAAGGCATGAATTGTGCTGATGGTTAGAAGACGTTTACGGTAATATGTTGTGTTGCAACCGAGAGTTGGTTGTTGGATGAAATGTTAGTGCGTCATTGTAAATGCGACACACGTTAAAACTACCAGCCAATCACAGTCCTACAGCT